GTGAAGTTATTTATGAAGAACAGCAACATTTTAGAACTCTGAACTACTTCTATACGGAATTGGTAACGCCCCTTGCGAACTATGTCACAACATAGATAGGAGCATTCCAAAAGGCAAAGGCTGAGTGAATGAACAGGTTGAGAAGACCGCGTGGTATGTACACATAAAAGAAAAGGGAAAAACCAGGCTGGGGGGACAAAAGCAAAAGTTTGAAATATAAACTTAGCCATTTTACAACAGGTAATAACAGTTATTTTTTGATGAATAGTAGCTGGCCACTTGATTATAAAATATTCAGACATCTGCAATTAGTTATACATGCTTAATTTAAGTGCTTAAAAATTTTGGATATGGGTTTTTTCCTATATTTGAATACTGGCATTTTTTTCTCAATTAATCAATTTGTAATCTCCAAATAAAGAATGCTTTTAAAGTATCAGTTGAAGTAAAAAATATCACACTGTGGGATGTGAAAAGTTGAGGGAAATCCTATCAACTACATATGTACCATGGCATAGCCTGGAAAAAATAAAGGATCTTTAACTTGGCCTACTTAATTTTTCAGAATCCCAATTTCTTCATTTTTATAATGGGCATAATAATACTTTCCCCAAAGAAGGTTTATGGAGATTAAAGAAGAAACTATAACATGTTATAGTTTATAACATAACATAGCTATAACATAAAAAAAAAAAAAATCTATAGTTTATATAACATAAACTTTAACATAACACACTAAACATAGTGCTTGGTATGTACTTAGTGATCAATAATGTCAATTTCTTTTTCCTTACCCACTGTACTGTATCTTCTAGATAGAGAGGAAGGCCAGTTCACAGAATGTGTATCTCAATAGGTATAGTTAGACTTAAACTTCTAACAAGTCAATGAAGAAAATCAAGCCAAGTCAAAGTACACTAAATGTAAATGGTTTTGCTTTCCACAGAAAAACATAAAAACTGAACTGAACACTTCTGTCTAGGGAATTACACTAGAACTACACTGCCTTGGGCATGTAACATACAGGATGAAATAAATTTACATCCAATCTTGATGAGGTCACTTCTGAAAGGTACAAATGGAGGGTTGCTAGTAACTGGTAGTTGAAATTGCCTTATGACATATATCCTCACCTGAGAAATGTTCAGTGTCTACTGGACATGGGACTCTGTCTTGTAAGCTGAACTTCTAACAAGTTGGGGATACAGCAAACATTTATTTACTCCAAGAGCAAAAGGAATGGGGCAATGTGCACTCCTGCAAAATACATCAGAAATTCAAATTTCTACCATGAGCAAAAACAGTTCTGTGACCTAACCATATGCTTGCAGATTAATGACTGTCCTCAGCTCAGTGTTGAAAGAGCCTTGTTCAGTACCTTCCAAAACACCACTCACATGGGAAGAAGGGAAAGGAGAGACCAAGTTGGTGATGTTCTTTTCTTTCGTAGATTTCTCCTTCCTCCAAGGTTTTTCTGTAATATCTGAAGGACCCAGATTCCCAGCTTGTTTCCCTAGGCCTGAACACTGTAAATGATGTGCTGAAAACACTTTTGTCTATGTTGTTTCAGTTTCTAGGAGTTTGAACATAGAGCATACAACCAGCATGTGTCCAGAAGATAGCAACTTCACTGTTAGAACTTGGGCTCTCATATCCTAGCCACAGGCTTCAATTTCAAACTTGAAAGTCTCCACTAAACAGCTGGATGTTAAAGTAGCCCATTTCTCATTTTCCATGAGGAAAATAATAAAAAGGTCACTCTAATTCTAATAACGACCCTGTCACCCCTATACCCAATCTCCCCACCTGCCAAGCATTATCTATCCATCTGCCACAGAGGGAAACTTACTGCAATGAATGGGAAGGATGAAGGATGTAGTAGGAGGAAACAATAGTCGTTCTGAATCAACAGCTGGACTCTTCTCATTCGTTACAATGATTAATCGCATTTCTGCTGAAGTTACTAAGTAAGATAATCAATCTTAGGTCCAGTTATTTAGAAGAATACAAGAACAACAAATAGTTGTTAGATAATAATTACATCAAAGGCACTGATGAAAGGTTTTCATTTCTCTTTAAAAATACCTAATATAAATACGTATGTAAACAAATATGAAATGGCAAAGTAACAAATTTGTTTGACTGGTTCACTCCAGGTAATGATAAACTCAAAAGGAAGAGATAAGCAACTTGGTCATCCGACTCAACTAATTAGTATTCAGCCAGTATAGAAGATCTCATTGTCCCGGGTCAGCCTAATATGATCAATGGTTTGCTAGGATCGAATATTCAAACTACTTTTAAATACACGCACATAATTCATTAATTTTCCAAAACACATAAATATTCATAATTCCATTTCTTAATCCTTAAAAGTATTATGATCTTAAAATGTTTAGGTTGTTAAGTGCTCATAATTATAAACTGTACTTTAAAACCACTTCCTGTCCCCTCCCTCACCTCCTTCTGCCCCAAAGAAAAACTTAAGAAGCGAGCGAAAAGGTGTCAGGATAAAGACTGTATGTCCATGGGGACCATTAGCATATTAATAAACTGTGTTTCCATTTACACTTCCATCACCAGAGCTAATTGTTAGTTATTTTAAGGAACAGCTTATACCTTAATTAACAGCACTTGGTAAATGAAAGCTGGTTGCATTTCTTAAGTACGTTCAAATTTCACAAGTCTTATTTCACAGCAGGGATTCCAGCGCATCCAATACTTTTATGTGATAACACCCTCTGATCAAGCAAGAAAGTCTTTAAAAGACCCTAAATAATTAGTTTCCAGAATAGAAGCCAATAAGAAGTATAATTAATGAGCAAGCTAATTATTTATCCCTAAAGCATTCACAGACATACACATTTTAAATGAGAGAGATTGAAGGGGACAGAAATACCTTTGGTATTTAATATTTCTAACTTGGACATTTCCAAGGACCTAACAAACTGAAGAGTTTAGGGGCAACATTTTCATTTCTGTAGCACAGTGTTCTTACACCTCCGACCCTTCCATCTCCTGTCCTGTCTATGCCTTGGGGACTGCTGGGAGGATTGTATTTGATTATGCGCTTAGAAGAACATAAAATCCCACAGTTTCTGCTTTGCTTTCCTTGTCATCCTGATCATTTCTCTGCGCTTATTACTTCTCAGCCCTGTTGTATCACCTCCTCCCACCATCCATTTGAACCATATCTCCCTCCTTCCCAATTTCATGGTCTTTCCCCCTTTCCACCCATTTCTCTCTGGTCTCTGGCAGAAAGAAAAAAAAAAGGAAGCCATGCAAAGTGGCTTTGTGCATAGCCTGTCAAACCTGGTCCCCCATCTCCCAATACAGTCCACTCCCTTTCCACGTTACCTCAAAAACCAAGGAAAATGAACAGAAAGGAAAAAACAAAACTCCCAAGAAAATATTTTTTTAAAAGTCGCCAGTTTTAACCCCAATTTTTTGTCTCTTAAAAATATTTTTATCTTCCCCTCTTCTTCAAAGAAGTCAGAAATAATAAAATGTAGGACCACTTAAGAAAAAACAAAGTAATTTATGGAAAAAGAGGTTAATATTCCCTTATTTGATTTTTACTATTTATGAGGGACCATGAGGCAGCAGCCAAAACAATAACTACCACAATAATAGCAGCAACTTAACACTTATTAACTAATCCGTAGCAGTTAGTCTTCTACATATTTTACACATATTAACTTATTTAATCCCTACAACAACCCCCCAAGGTAAATATTATAAATGAGGAAACAGACACCCAGAATTAACTCTCCCAGAGTCAAAAGCTAGTGAACGGAACAGGAACCAGAGAGTGTGCCTTCTCCACACCTGTACCAGACCGCCATAACTGCTCTATTCCACGTATATGCTGTGCATTTAATTGGGCATTTCTTCTGCAATTTTAAACAAATGAACTTTTCTGGGATTAAGACAAGTAGAAATTCCTCCAATATAAAATATTTTTTCTCTATTAAATATCCCCCCACCTATCTATGTTATATATTTTGTGGTAAAGAATGGAGAGAAAGAGTTGAGCGAGACAGAAATGCCTAAGTGAGGGCAGAGTTTAAGCTACATTTCCCCTAGACCTAGTGACACAGTGTGTGTGATTCTCCAGGTCCAGCAGCATCCTTTAGCTTCAACCAGAACTCTCCTGGAACCTCCTGGCCCACCCGCCTTCAAAGTATTTCCTGGCTTGTGCTTCACTATTGACCATCAAGACTTCCATAGATCCTCTTCCTTGAAAACAGACAAAAATCCATGCTAACGGGAGAAATTTAAAGGAGAAGCCTCCCTTTAAACCATTCCCTTCCCAATACCTACCCAATAGCATTTCCTCCTGTCCAAGAATTTTAAGAGTGACCTCTAGAGATAGTGCCTGGTTACTTAACTGTTTAACCAGGAGGTCTCATTCAAGTGGAGAAAAAGTCAGAGCCTGTAGGAAGTCTGAAGGATCTCGGACAACAGGCCATTGGGACTTTACATGACCTTCATGTAAAGAGGCCAATTAAAGCTTTTGCCTAATGCTTCCAGGTACCTCCTCTGCTTGCTTTGGTGCCCGGAGTGACTTCAGGAAAATAGAGGGAGTTTCTCTCTATACAGTATGTAAAAGAACCAATTGTGAAAGTAGAGCACTTTATTACTCCCCTGTTTTAGAATAATTACCACATCTAGAAAGTGTTGAAACATTAATCTCTTCCACTTGCTTTCTGCCCATAATATGACTCCTTCAGCAACTCCTTAAAACAACAACAAAAATGTAAACCAGAAGATCAAGCCAGCCTTCTGAAAAAGAGAAAAATCTGTTCTGAAAGCTTTTGCTCCTAACCAATTGCCAATTTGGCACTAAGCCAAATGAATTTGGGAAAAAACGCAGCAAACTATAAACATAAACATAATACAAATACTGTCTTTGAAAAATGCCAGTCACATAAAAAACCCAATAGTTTGGAAAAGCATAATTCCTTTTCCCAAAGAAAGAAAGAAGTACAAGTACTTACAGTGTCATGAGACTTATCCTTGACATCATAGACGGTTAGTTTTATTTTGGTCTCCTCATAGATGGGATACTCAGATGGGAATGTGACACCAGTCAAAAACAGTGGGTCTCTTGTTCCCTGTAACAGCACAAGCAGACAACTTTGATTCAATAAGGCAGCAACTGCAGTCGGCAGCACGCAGTCACACATGAGAATGCAGAAAGCCTGTCCAGGTCGGTTTGTTTTTCTAGGAAATAGTTCTATAAGAAGAGAGATCTGAATTGCCAAGTGATGCTCATGGGCAACAACATGACCCAAGGCCCCACAGTATTGATATAGCTGTTGATAGTAAATGGCCCTGCATCATTGTCAGAGCTGTCTTGAAAAACAATTTATTTTCATTATATGCAGAACCCTCCTTTAGGGTCAGCTGTCAATCCATTGAGAATACATTTAACGATCTAACCTGTCATTTATGCAAATAATCTAAGATATTGACTGATCAAATTAAAATGAAGCTATTTTCTCAGAAAGAACCATTTGGTAATCTTATGCTGTCCATTTATTTCCCTTCTGTAATGCTTCAATTGAAAGCCATGCTTTGATGGTATCCATTCGTTTTTAGATGTTCAGCTGTGTTTTTTTTTTCAGACCGATTTGAAAACTAATGAAAGAAACTAAATATGATGGATTTGCGGCTATAAAATTACTAGTTCAGGATGCAGTGCACAGGATATTTCAATGCCTCCCAATTCATTTTTAGAGAGCTGACATCTAACACTAAATTTTATATCTATATTTAAATATGTATGTTGCCAAATATTACTGAGATGTTTGCTAGAGTGCTGTAAACTATCTGTCTATGAAAGTTTCTGAGAACCCAAGTTGCTCATTTATTCATTCATTCTTTCGTTTTATTCAACAAATAGTACTTTTTGTTCGGCACTGTGTTAGACACTTTGGAACAGGCAGTGAACCAAACAGTTACACATGTTCACATATAAAATTCTGAAATGCGTCAAAATAAATAATTTCTCTCAAGTTTTGACAATATTTAAAAAATCATTAAGTTGGAATAATACTTGAAAATGTTTTTCATATAAATGAACAATTTTTGTCAAGTTTCCTTTACATGAATAAGACTATTTTTTGTTAATTCAGCTACAGTATTAACTACAAATTATATGAACATTGGAATCTAAAGTTTCCAAAGGGCAGATTCAAGGCTATAGGCAGGATCTGGGTCAGTCCCATTAAAGAAATGAGTCGACTTCAGTCTGAATCATTTTCCACCAACCGGGCATCAAGGCACCAGTCTGCACTGATCAAGCCAGGCCTGGGGTAGGCTACTCCGTTTCTTGCAGAGAAAACTCCATTCAAAACAGACAGGGCTCACAAGTCTAAGAAAAGCACGCAGAGGCAAGGAGTTTAGAGTACACTTTCGTTAGTCCCAAATGTTCAAATAAGTATCTCTCATTCACTAAGGCTGTGAAACATGTGTGATGAGAACAAAATAATCAAAAGGGAAACACTTCCTCTTTTGAATCTGATCCAACACAATAACAAGTTTCCTCCTGACACATTTTGAATGTTATATTAGTAACAATAAATGTAAATAGGAAATCTCTCATCTGATGAGTAATATTTACACTTTTTGCCTAGGAACTTCACAGTTTCTCAAATTAATCATCTACCTTTCTTTGAAAAACATTGTACTTTTAAAAAAAAACAGACACAAACAGCAGAGAATATAAAGTTTCCACAGATAGACTGAAGAATACAGGAAAAAAGGAAAAGGGCAAAAATACTCAGTGGGTTTAAAACTTCTCTGGGTACTTGATGACTTTCGTTTTTACCCTAAAAATAAATATTCATTCCATTTAATTTAAAATCTATATTTTGTTTTTTTTCCCCTCTTTTTGGTGCTCTATTCAAGGATTCAAAGTAGTAATTTTTCTATTTACTAAAGAAAAATAAGATCGTTTAGGAAAAAGGCAAGTTCTTCCTCCATTTATTTATTCTGGTAAGTTACCAATGCACACTTAATAACCTCAGGTATGCTTTCCTAAATGACAGAGGACGGTAACAGCATAGCTACAGGGCATGAACTAATTTATTTCAGCTGTTTGCTCAAATCCAGAGAGAGACTGAGAGACAGCATGCGAGTAATGCAGGCACGCAGCGTGCTCACCTCCACAATTTCCGTGCTCGAGTATCTTGTCAGACTCTGCTCTGCTGGGTGGATTACTGAGATCTGCACCAGCGTATTCAGCTTCCGATCACGGACAGGAGCCACAAGATCCTTGCATGCTGACAATGGCAGAGGAAAGAGAAAGAAAAGAAACTCACACCATCTCTCAGAGAAAACTTCTGTCCCGGGCTGGAAGTAAACTTAGCTACAGTGCTGAATGAACTCTCCTGGGACACTGGCTGATTTTACAGAGGAAGTCCCTTGGAAGTACCTTACAGAAATAGGAAGTCACGTGCTGTTGAGCTGAATCGAGAGTTCATTTCCACTGACCACATTTGCAGCTCTTGTAAGTCTCGACTGCCTTGGAATCTCAGCTCTAATGCGTGACTAGACACACGCCGCTCAGGGACTTGAGTGACTTTAATTAGTCACACTCCCAGACTAAGTAAATTGATTTGGGCCATATCCGGGAAACTTGACTCTCTTCCTTATTGACACTGGCTGGATTACTTCAAATGTTCGAATGCACACTTGGTCCTTACCTATGTCTTCTCTAGAGCTGGCCTCTTTCAGTCATACACAGGGACAGAAACTGGGAAGAGAGGCTACCCTACCAACACAGCACACAAGCCACAAGGGAGGAGCAGAGGAGGCAGTGGATAGGTTAAAAACAGCCTCTGTCTGGGATCCCAGCCAAGTCTGGGAGGGAGAAATGTGGAATAAGGATGGGTTAATTCTTGCCCAGGGGTCACAAATGTAAGAACTTTCCCTTGAAACACCAGGCTCATATTACAGACTCTCATCACCATACCATATTTACTTGAATATTTTATCCTCCGACATATCATTTTCCCAATTTTGGGAAGAAAAATCCCAAAAAAATTCCTTTTCAGCAAGTCCAACATCTTCTCTCACTGTGCTTTCCCCGCTGGCTTTGAAATAGTAATTTTACTACCTGCAGTTGGATGGATAAGTATGATGCAAAGTGTTCTCACCAGAGAGGGTTCAAGGCAGGCTCAGCTGGTGGGCTGAGGTAGGCTGGGGCTTTGATTGGGGAACTGAGACATGGCCCTGGGTCCCGGATTCCTGGTGAGAGTGTGCTGGGCTCTATACTCTCCCTACCCCAAGCCTCTGACCAGTGCAGGAAGGGAGGGAAGGATGGGAGTATTTAAGTTATGTTGTGGCACTACAGCTTCTTACAGAGGCCTATCTACTGGGACAGAAGTAGTCCGGTTTAAATCTGAAACTTCAAAGCAAAGGAAATTATAAATGTAGTTATCACCTTTCAATCGCTTACAGATCATCTCACTTATAGAGGAAAAAAGCAGGAGCTTTGGAGAGAAACAGTCCTGTTTTTTGTCCAGTTCTACTAGCTAAGCAACGCTGGGCAAATTATTTAACTTCTTCTTGCCAGACTTTGAGATCCTTTTACTTCTGTCTGGTATTTTGTCATAATTTTTCCTTATTTAAACCACATGTCTCTAGCAATACAGGAGCGCTTAAGAAAGTATGTGTAGAAAAAAGAATAGCTATAGTTTAACCCTATTTTTGAGGAACTTTGCTAATTACCTCTTTATTTCTCAAAACAGTGCTTTGAATTATTATTTCAGTTTTACATATTAAGAACTAGAGGCTTAGAAATATGAGTACTCACATTTACATTACTAGAACTCTCTGGTAGTTTGCTTAACATCACACCCCATTAGCTCCATTTCTTTTCTTGCCTACTGAATTCCTCTCGTGCACAATGGCACCTCTCTTGGGAAGACCCACTGCCATGATTCTTTCTTGTCTAACCTAAGAGATCTATAGTTTTAGAAAATACTGATGTGAGGTTTCAATAATGTCAACATATTGCCGGAAGGAAAAAAAAAGCTAGATTTAGACTTGACTCTTCTTTGGTGGTTATTTTGATCATTTCCTCTACTTGCCTTAGAAATGTGTTTAATTTTATCACTCATTCTCTTGGTTTGGTACGGCTCTCTCTCCATTTACTGATATTGACATATATTTGTCCTTGGATTTTAAAGCTGGAGTCACTTTGTTTCAGACACATGCATCTGGCCCACTTTCTGCTTGTAGTCTCCACCATATGTATGATCTTATGACACCTTTGCTCAAAATAAGACACTCCTTTTCTGATTTCTTATCAGCCTTGACTGTGGGCTGTGGTTAGTTCCCAGAAGTGAGCAGCTGTTCTCCATTTTATCAGAGAAACTCAGACTCACTCCTGACAAAAACAGAGAAAAATCTCCATTAAATTGAAAAGTTCTGTGGAACTCAATTTGCAGATCCCCCAACAGTGATGAAGTAAAACAATAATGACACTTTGTATTTCTTTATATTCTATAGCTAAAACAATAATGACACGTCGTATTTCTTTATATTCTACAGCTAAAAACAGGCCAACAAAACAAGTCATATCTTGAGCTGCACATGTCTCTTTTCTTACCAATAGCCCAGAGCATTTTACTGTTCTCTAATGCTTATGCAGCCAGATGTTGTGGAAAGACCCTGAAATCAGTCGGAATTCCTGAGCTGTATTCCTAGATTCCCAGTTTTCTAGTTATGTGACATTAAGCCACAAAGTCTTAGACACTCAATTTCCTCATCTGTCTACCTATTTCTCAGGGTGGAGTTGAGGAAGAAATTAGGCCCTTTTCTCTAATAGACTTTTCTATGCAAAAATAAAGTTTACTGATAAAATTATACTAACATTTACCAATATTAATACCAAGATTTACCAATATTTGGTGTTTTATTATTTTGTAAAATGGTTTTTATTGACTTAGTCATATTCAGACAGCTCCTTAAAAGCTGTCACCAGGTCCAATATTTCTTTGTAAATACCAAACCAGTATATGAGTCACTGGATTTCATAAAGTGAAACCTGTACACACTTTAGGTGTATAGGAGGGTGATAAATGATGAGTGATTGGATTGCTTCATGGACATATTACTCATTGGATCACTATAAAGTCTAACCTGCACTGGAATAATTCAGTAGCCAATAAAGAAGCCTGAAAAACATGTTTTCAGGAATCAAAAAATGTTACATCAGTCTTCTAGCCATACTTACTACTGCCCATCACCCAAGAAAACTCAAGTCTAGGAGTAGCCTGCAAAAATGGCCTTCCTCAACTCACAAGACTAAAAGAATGCTTTGTGGTTTTGCTTCTGTTGTTTTGTTTTGTTTATGTAAGAATTCTCAAGTCAAATGGGTGGCAACAAATAAATGCCTCTCTGCAATCGTTCATTCATCAATAGATTTTTACTTGTATTTCTGCCTTTATACTGGCTTTGTTTTGGACTGAGCTATTTAGAAGTACGCTCAAAGCCTGGAAGAGTTTAAATATACGAGATGCTGATAGGTTGGGATTCAAATGCACTTGTGTCCACTAAATTGACTATTTTTTACTGAACAGAAGAAAAAATAACAATATAGAAGTAATGAGTAATTTTTAAAAGAAACATAATTCGAAACTTTTCTTTAGAAAAAATAAGAGCTACGAGTGACCATTTTTCCTGTTAATTTTGCTATAGTAAATAGCAACCAGAGGTTTCATTTTCTATTGCCAGTGGTTGTGTGTGAGATGCCTACAGGTGTCCCCAGCTCAGATTTGTACAGAAGCCAGATAGCTCTCACTCTAGTAGAAGAAAATCCCCAGTAGAAGTGTAATGATAAAAATAAATGGAGCTTCAGTAACTCAGGGGAGGGGGAGGCACTGAGCAAAATGGAAAGCCTATGCTGTGTCAAAGAGGGGACCTCATTTCAAATTCACTGCCTGAAGAAATGAAAGCCCACTGTGGCTTGATTTTAGGATTTGTCCAAAAGCACTGGCCAGTCACTGTGTAGGCTAAAGCTGTAAGAGCCACACAAAATATATTTGTGACTGGATTTGACCTAATGACCAGAAAAGTTGGCAACCTCTGGTCTAGATGCTTAAAACTACTCTTGGAATCTTAGGAAGAGAGCACAGCTCATCTTTTGCTCCTGTAGTTCTAATATTTGAGAGTCCAGAAGCTAAAGGGCAGGGGTCTTCAGAGTTCCTGTTGAGTGAAATATTCTGTCTATCCCAAAATACTGTTTTTAGAAAACAGCAGTTTTTATTTTGTTCAGCCAACATTTCTAAATCATGTCAAGTCTATTGAGTCCATAAAGCCTTTTCATCACTTTAGCCAACTTTGGCTGGAAGCCTAAAAATGCCTCTTGACTCTTCTATCAGAGAGTGAGGTCCCAGCAATAATCAATTTGAAGTAGAACACAACTGTTCGTTCAGGTGCCTTTGAATTCAGCAGCACTGGCCAAATCCAGGTCTTTCTAAGATCCACATTGGATATGGAGTGCACAATGAAGCAGAGGTGCCTGCCACAGGCCTTCACAAGGGCAATGGCATGAGCCACGCAGTGTGAGTTCATGGCTGAATCCAAGCACCAGTCTCTTTCCCTTTAAGAACTCTTTCTTCTGTAAGTCAGGTCATTTTTCTTGCCTCATCCCATTTCATCTTGTTTCTTGCCATTCAGTGCTGGAGGCATCTAACCAAGTTTATCCTCTTTCCTCCAGAACAAAGCAATGGCCATAAGCAGAGGAGATGGGGGTGGGGGACTTGACAGGAATTTCCACATCTCTACAGCTCTGTTCTTAAATTAGCCAAAGGAAAGTTAGGCTTAGAGGAGAAACCAGACAGTGTAGCATATGGAGGATAAAAGAAGGGTTTTTTTTTCACTTGAGGTAAAACTATTTGAAACCAGGATCTAACCGAAGGAGATATGTGACTTTAGATAAACTCCTGTATCTCTTTGAGCCTCTATTTTCTTATTTGTAAAATGGAAATAAAAGGACAAATTTCATAGATTTATATGAAGTAATGTATGTAGAATGCCAGGCACATAACAGGCGCTTTAAATTATTATTATTATTATTATTAAGATTAATATGAATGTGGTTATTCATTGACAGAAAAATGAATTTTATGTAGCCAATATTCTTATAGTAATTAAATGCTCAAGATATTCCAGGTTGGTCCTTATTTTGTATAACCTTATTCTTTTTCAATAAAAGCACTTTATTAAATACATAACAGTGAATTTTTGGTTCTCGTTTTCATACAAATAAATA